ATAAGTGATAGTATTTTCTTCAACTTTAATAGGTGCAACTACTTTTACTTCAATGGGAGGATTATATTTAAACCACTTCTCCTTAGGGAGTTCAACATGAGTAGCAAATGATTCACAGAAAGAAGCTACTATCTCATAGTCAAGTCCATATTTAGTGCTAAATTCACGGAAAGCATCGGTATCCATGAAAGATTTAACACAATCAAACTTAGGTGTCATACCTGACTCTTTACCTTCGCCGAGGTCCCAATCTTCAGAGTTGCATTTAATTATTTCCAATAAATCCCATTTGAATTCAATAATCTTCCTCATAAAAGAGCCAGTACAAGAAGTATCGAGCATGGAGAGATTATTGAGAGAGAGCCAAGCATAAATTTTTTGAATAATCATTTCTCTTGAGAGCTCATGATTGGGGCATGAATATAACATTGACTTAAGCCTCCCCAAGCTTGAGCGATGCTTTCTCCTTCGCGAGGCCAAAAATTATATATATAATTACGATCAAGATGAACAAGATGCATAGGATAAAACTTCTGATGAAATTCCAATTTCAATTGTTTGTAGTTCCATGATCCCATATCATCACATGGCCTATACCATGTCAATGCCTGTCCCTTCAAAGATAAAGGGAAGACCTTATTCTTGATAACATCATCGGACATACCTGCAAGCTTAAATAATCCACAAACTTCATCCACATAGATTAGGTGTAAGTCGGGATGCAATGTTCCCTCACCTATGAAAGGATTAGCCAGCAGTTTCTCTATCATACCCGAAGGAATTTCAAAGTAGACATTTTCAGTAGGTTCAGTTAGTTGTGGAGCAACTATTTGCACTACTAGTCGGGGTGAAGATACCCCGAACAAGCCCCTCAAAGGATTACTTTCCATAGTGACAAGTGACAGTAAATTTCAGCATACTATATAAATTTTTCCTTACCAAAGGCGCTTCACTCCCCGACAACGGCGCAAGAAAAGAGTCTTGATGCCCCACAAGTGTACGGGATCTGTCGTAGTCCTTTTGATAAGTAAGAGTGTCGAACCCAACGATGAGCACAAGGAAATGACAAGCGGTTTTCAGTAAGGTATTCTCTGCAAGCGCTGAAATTATCGGTAACAGATAGTTTTGTGATAAGATAATTTGTAACGGGTAGCAAGTAACAAGTGTAAATAAAGTGCAGCAAGGTGGCCCAATCCTTTTTGTAGCAAAGGACAAGCCTGGAAAAACTCTTACATGAAGGAAAACGCTCCCGAGGACACAAGGGAATTATCGTCAAGCTAGTTTTCATCATGCTCATATGATTCGCGTTCGGTACTTTGATAATTTGATATGTGTGTGGACCGGTGCCTGGGTGTTGTCCTTACTTGGACAAGCATCCCACTTATGATTAACTCCTATTGCAAGCATCCGCAACTACAAAAGAAGTATTAAGGTAAACCTAACATGAAACATATGGATCCAAATCAGCCCCTTACGAGGCAACGCATAAACTAGGGTTTAAGCTTCTGTCACTCTAGCAACCCATCATCTACTTATTACTTCCCAATGCCTTCCTCTAAGCCCAAACAATGGTGAAGTGTCATGTAGTCGACGTTCACATAACATGACTACTTATAGCAAGACTTCTCCCATGTCCTCAGGAACAAAAGTAACTACTCACGAAGCATATTCATGTTCATAATCAGAGGAGTATTAATATGCATAATGGATCTGAACATATAATCTTCCACCAAGTAAACCAACTAGCATCAACTACAAGGAGTAATCAACACTACTAGCAACCTACAGGTACCAATCTGAGGTTTTGATACAAAGATTGCATACTAGAGATGAAGTAGGGTTTGAGATGAGATGGTGCTGGTGAAGATGTTGATGAATATTGACCCCCTCCTGATGAGAGGATCGTTGGTGATGATGATGGTGATGATTTCCCCCTCCCGGAGGAAAGTTTCCCTGGCAGAACAGCTGTACCGAAGCCCTAGATTGGTTCCGCCAAGGTTCCGCCTCGTGGCGGCGGTGTTTCGTCCCGAGAGCTTGCTTATGATTTTTTCCAGGGTAGAAGACACCGTATAGCCAAAGATGGGCATTGGAGGCCTGCTAGAGGGCCCACAAGGCAGGGGGCGTGCCCACCCACCCTCATGGCCTGGGTGTGGGCCCCCCACCCCCTGGGCGCGCCCCCCACCCTCATGGCCTGGGTGTGGGCCCTCTCAGGTATTTTCTTTGCTCGGTATTTTTTATTAATTCCAAAAATGACTTCTGTGGAGTTTCGGGACTTTTGGAGTTGTGCAGAATAGGTCTCCAATATTTTCTCCTTTTCCAGCCCAGAATTCCAGCTGCCGGCATTCTCCCTCTTCATGTAAACCTTGTAAAATAAGAGAGAATAGGCATAAGTATTGTGACATAATGTGTAATAACAACCCATAATGCAATAAATATCGATATAAAAGCATGATGCAAAATGGACGTATCATTGGCCCACGCGACCGCCAGCAAAGAAGGTTTGGGTCAACGACGGGCTGGCTCCTCACCAAGTTGCGCCACCCGGAAGGTAGCACCTCCCAGTACCAGCCCGACGGAGCCCAGTTGCGGACATGGCCCCTCTGATCAAGTAGGCATCCTTCGCCGAGTCGACGACGAGGATGCGGGATAGGCATCGTCGACGTCGATGCGAGAATAATTGATTTAACTAAAAAAATAACAACAAATGTGACATGTTGAACATGGTTCGATCATAACTAGGGTTCATACTACATTATTCTAAGATTAAACAACTAAAATACCTAAATTATATTAACTACACCTAATTAAAAACCTTCATTTTGAACATGGTTCGATCATAACTAGCTAGGGTTCATACTACATTATTCTAAAATTAAACACCTAAGATCATAACCTACTACATTATTCTAAGATTTAACCAAAAAAATTCAACTAGCTAGGGTTCAAAATTAACTAGGGAGGAGGAGGAAGGAGGGAGGAGGATTACCTCTCGGTGGAGGACGGCCGGCGCGGAGGGGCGACCGGCGGGGGAGGAGGGCCGGCGTGGGAGGATGGCCGGCGGGGGAGGAGGCCGGGGCGGGGGAGGGTGGCCGGCGGGGAGGAGAGCCGGCGTGGGCGAGGGCGGCCGGTGGGAGAAGACCGGCGCGCGGGGGACGGCGGCAGCAACGGCGCGCGAGTGAGAGTGTGTGAGGGGGAGAGTGAGGTCGGGCACGGGCCGGAGCGTGGATAAGGTGCCTGTAGTACAAGCACTACTAGTATCCCTGGCCTGTCGGCAACGTTCTGGCAATTGTAGTAGTAGCGCGTTTTATGAATACAACACTACTGGTAAGTGCGTAGTAGCAGCGCTTTCCGAGGCCAAGCACTACTGATAAATAGTAGCAGCGGTGCCTTCTAAAAAATGTTACTACTAAGCTCCTGTGTATAGACATTTCCCTAATAGTGATAGTGTCCCCGTTATACTCATGCCCCTTGACGACATAGTTGCACGCAAGAGCTTCATCATGAGACTATGACATGCCAAAGGAAGAGTGCCAAATTCAGAGGTCTTGTGTTGCAACCGATTAAAGAATGATCATGTACTTTTTATGTTGGCCCCGGTATTACCCTTGTTGAACATATGGACAGTTCTTCTATTTTCAATGCATGCAATCCGGAGATCTGAGCATATCTGGAAACCCTCTTGATTCGTGAAGTGCAGTGAGCCTTGATATGTTTTCGACATTTGATTCTCTCGAGTACGGCGATGTTGCTCCTATTGTTCATATGCATTTGTCACCTATTCCACTTTGAAATGCAACGAACTGCCTTATTAGGAATTCTTCATGATTACAAGATCCGAGGGGGATAGAGTGGAATGTTGTTCAAGTGAAAGACATAATTGGTCCATGCTATTATTTGTCCAACGAATGTGAATAAAATAAGTAGCATGTGATTTATGTGTGTAATATTTGAGGCAAGATATAAGTTGAAAAGGGTTACACTTGTCTATAGAGCAATGATGAAACTTCGAATCTATTTATCATGTTAAATGTATGCCAAACTTTTGATGCAAAAGTTGACGAATAACTTTCACTCGTTAACTCATACATCAAAGCTAGGCATACATTTTGTGTATGTTCATAAGGTTCATTATGTTTCTGGAGGTTATTATATATCACTCTCTATTTGGTTCCGTTGTCTACGCTTACCTAAGTTATAATATTTTGTATGTTTCGATCATTCATTCAATTTTACTTCTATAAATAGGGATCCAGAGCCACTATTCATGCATAAGTTATATATCCATATTCTGGCCCTAATGCATTCATCAGGCAAATTAGCAAACCATCAAAAAAATTGGTAGACAGGTTGCGTGTGACGGCGCACACATGATTCAGTGACATTTACATTGATTAACGCATGATGGTGATTTTGTACCCATCATAGTTTGTGGGAATCATGACACTATGTACAAAACGTCATACTTTAGATTTTTCTGTGATGATTTCTTCGACCGCCTATGGGTTTTCGCCACGGTATTCCAATTTCTTGTAGTGAGCTCACTAACCGGGCGCATACCCAATGACAAACGACAAGTTGTGGTGGCCCTGGACTGCACATTAACAATGGCGCACGACATGTCCCAACGTAGTTGGTCCTAAAATTACACCACTTCTTTTTTGTATGCATGAGTCTACATCATCATCAAGTATTATCATCATAGTCGTCATTGTTGTTGTTATTTTTACCATAATAAATCATCGTCATCATCGTCCAATACCAATAATAATGTTGCAAGCGTCAAAGTGGAAAGGAAATACAAACTATGAAATCTAAATAAATCCAATACAAATACAATCATCGTCATCATCATATAATGCCAATAATAATGTTGCAAACATCCAAGGTAGAAAGAAAATATAAACAATGGAAACATAAATTAATCGGATTTTCTCCATCAGTTCTCAAATATTACTGATTATAACGATCACTTCCGTCGGTGTCACATAGAAGTGTCGAAGTTACAACTTGTCAATAACTTTACTAAGAATATCGTACACCACATGTGGACGGTTTTGCTTAAGCTGTTCGAACCCCTCTGTTTTCACAATAGTTCGTAGTCTATCACCATCTCTTAGCATGTACTTGAGACAGCAAGCCTTGAGCTGCTGGCAACTATATTTCTCTGCAAGATCCAAAGTTAACCCCACTGTGTTGACATCTATAGCCTTGCTAAGCTTGCTCTCACATATGAGTTTTAGCCTCGCTATCTCGTACCGTTCAGCGGCGACAAGCAAATGGCGCGCCATGTTTAAAGCATGTTCCGTGGTCTCCTCCATGAAGTCGGGCAGAGTCTCATTGTACACGTAGTGCAGCAGTACCTCGAAGACGTTGACATCCATATCGTCAACGCGGATGCAGTTTTGTTTGCTCTCCACCAGGGCACGGAAGATCGGAGACTGTGCAGCGAGCACGCGCCCATGCACCTTGAATCTCTTGAACCAACCAATCTTAACAGTCACGTCCGGCTTGAGCTCTCTATCAAGAAGGCTGTGGAGATCGGAGGGTGGCACGACAACGCTGTTGTCGTCGCCATCAACTTCATGGTCTTTCATGAGTTTGGTGGTAACAATCTTGACGGTGCACTTGATCACCAGGCAATCATCCTTGAGGCACCCGGACGCGGCCAGATCGGCTTTACTAACAAACTTAGGAGTACCCCAACCTGGCTGGTTGGACGAGAACTTCGCGGTGGCGGGTCCGCGTTTGTTCTTCTCTCCGGTCACGGGCGATGCAGGATCCTGGAGGCTGAAGGTGTAGGTCGCCGTGACCTCGTCCTCGCTGTCACTCAGCAACTTGAGAAAAACAGACGTGAACTGCCCGTCGACGATCCTCGAGTCACCGTTTGGAAAGTAGACGATAGCCCAGTCGTGACCGCCCACGCTGAAGGGCCCGGAGGTGAGCATGGTATCGCCTTCTTTGAGCATGGAGTGCCCCACAACCTTTAACGTGTGCTCGCCGGCGTGGATGACATCGTATGATGAGGGCTTGGGTGCAGTGGCCGCCGGCGATGGCTTAGTACTTAAGAAGTTCCGGGAAAAGAAATCGAGGAGGGTAGATGAATAGATTGACATAGCGACTTTCTAAAAGAAATCTGATGGACAGGGCACGCCTTATACTCTATATATGTGTACATACAGTTATTTGAGAACAAATCGGATACATGTTAGTAACTTTATTACCGGCCGATTTCCTAGATCATTACGTACGTCAAGCTTCTTATAGATCGGAAACATATGTTAATAATCTGTTATTTACCGGCCGGCCGGCTTACAAGTAGGCCTAAGCATCAACTGATGTGTTCGTGTCACGATCGAACATCAATGGATACAAAATTCAGAAGATTGAGGGGAGTATTTGATTAGTGTCTATATCGAGGACTCATCTAGATGAGAAGTAAATATGTCTCAGCTAAATTTTGACATCAGCAACACATCAGATGAGAGAAGCCCACCGTGTCCTCCACTTCTTTGTCTATTTCCAAATGTATAATAGTGCAGCTGCGCTATTCAGCGTCATCGAACGCGTGCGTGAGCCGTCCCATGCGGATGGACGGTTACCGCATCCGGTGCCCGGCGGAACGGCCGAGCCTTCCGACACACACGGCCACAGAGGGGACGCCCGACGTGCGCTTAGTGGTTGGGTCCCGGACACTATTTCGGGCCAAACCACTCCCTTTCAATGCTCCCCTGGTTTGAATTTCTTGGGAGACGCACAACTCCCTCTTCTATCTTGCACGCGCATTTCCTCTCCTCTCCTACCATTCTGGGCGGTGTGCAGGATTCGCTGACGTGGGAGGCCATCCACGGAAAACAACATGAAATAAGATGTCAAAGTTGCCGCACTAATAGCCAGTCAATTGCTTTCATTGATAGACACACTAACTGTCAGGATTCAAAGAGAGCCGAGAGATTTGGCGACACAAACTCTCACAAACCCTTCGTGGATGCCGGATTGGACGTCGTCGAGGTAGTTAGAGGCCCGAGATACCTCACTCAAACACGCCATCGGCACCTCTGAGGCCGTCAGACAATGAGAGGAGGGGGGACGGAGGCGGCGGCGGCTAGGGTTGAGAACAAGAATTGTTTTACCAGCAGAATGGAGCTATTGAGATCCATTAAAAGGGCAGCTCGGTGCACGTAGCGCCTGCTTGCACAGGGTTTGGAAATGACGAGGGTGCAGAAAAGTGTTCGACCGCTTTGGGTCTATAATATGCATCTTTTTCCTACATTTCTACAAGAGACTGTTTCCAGAACTCGAACCCGTGAACTCATGGTCACAAGACAATAGCTTTACCGCTATTGAGATCCATTGGGAGAGAAAAAAAAACTAGGAGTATTATCATATTATTTAACAAGAAGCATGCATACTAATTATCTCTACTCCTAATAGAGCAGTTGGTAGCCTGGTACTTCGGTTTTATTTTTGTCTGGTTTTATTTCCTCCCACCACCAATCACCCTTACCATGTTGGTTTTCTTATCTATCGGTTTATTTTTCTCTCCACTCTTTTATTGCAAATCAGCACTTTCCTAACATACAAAAGATCATGGATCAAACTTTCCTAATTTCATACCATTTCACGCACCTTACTGATTGTCTATATTTATCTAGGATCTAGGAATTTAGTAAAATTTATGGTTTCTACATGCTCTTATTATTTTAATCCTTATATTTTTCGGAACTTGATTGATCTTGCTAGGTCTGAGAGTTCCAAGACTGACACAACTGGATTACATCGTAAAGAAGGTTCACACGTAATCAAAAGCGGGTCTAGGGTCTGGTTGTGCATTTTCCACAATGCGGTTTGGCCACACCTATGTCTAGAAAGTTCTTTTACCTTATATTTCCTTCATGAGATTTTGACTTCTTATCTTGACTCGAATTATGGCATGCAGATTCTGGGTACAAACCCCCAATAATACTTCCATCTGCAGTAACAAACTTTGGTAGAGTTAACTCGCGTCAGGATAACACATGAAGCTTTCAAGTTTGCACAAGAAGTACTTGCATGAGGAGGTGATTTCCAGTTAGAATATATCCTCTATTTTTATTTAAGAACATGTTGTGATGCTACTTTTTATTTGTATATAACTCGTGTTTCGACCTGTATTAGTCAGAATGTAGTTCCTATTGTTAGCTACATTTTTTCTGGTAATTTTGTATATAACTTGTGTTTCAACTTGTATTAGTCAGAATGTAGTTCCTGTTGTTCGCTACATTTTTCAGCTAATACCATTGTGTTTAAGAACATGTTGGGGATGTTACTTTTGATTTGTATATAAAATTTTGGTAATTCTAGAGCAAGTGTTTTTCGAGGAAATTTTGGTAATTCTGCAGCAAGCCTTTCTCGAGGAAATTTTGGTAATTCTCCAACACTTTTGATTATTCTTTTGTCTTTTCGAAGATGTATAAATTTGTGTGTACGGGGAATTACTGGATGTTTCACAAGGCTTGAAGACGGGGAGTGAAGTTAATCCCTGTCATGACTAGCCAAAGGCATGAGTTATGTACTAAGTTGCAGAGGCATGTATATGAGATGATACCATTTGTATTTGCTTATCCATCATATGATTTAATGTCCTGAATATTTGAAAATTTACCGGGGGGGGGATGGACATTGAGATCCACCATAAGAATGGGAGCCACACTTTTTTGAGGTGCGGGGGGGCTAAACTCTATTGGAAGTGTAGGGATGCGAAGCAAATAGTTCGAGCCACTATTCTATGCTGGCAATGGTGGAGTGCATGGAATAACGCTAATGTGGGGGATAAGCATTGGAGTGTGGAAGATGTTTGCATGCTGGTCGGCCTCTGGGTAAGCAATTCTTTCTGAAGAATTCAGTGACAGTGAGGAAGACATGCAATATGGAGAAACCAGAGGGGGGCATCAATTGGAGTTCGGTGGCAATAACATCCAAAACACCTTCAACCTCATGCTCCAGATGACCATCTTCCTCACCATCGGTGGCCAGATGCTCACTATCAAGGTTTAACCCCCACTTTCATCCATGCATATCACATCCTTAATCAGATGATTCTACGTAAATAAGCCTTTTCTTTCCCAGATCCACGCCCCAAATGATGAGGGTTTATGTCTTTCAGACTTGTGAGTTGCGATCATCAATTACTCTCACCGATTGATATTTGGTTCTTGTAAGACTAAATGCGGTTTATACTTTGCCGCCTCCAGAATTTAAGATGTTCATACTGTCTAAACAGAAAACACGTGTAATCTCCATATGTTCACATTGGCTTCAATCTACAAATTTAAGAAGGTGAATATTGGCTAGATCATGACACAGCTGATGTGGCTTCAATCATGTTTTTAAATGTCATATGTTTTTTATGAACTCACCATCATGCATATCGTTGTGGTGTATACGAGTACATTTTTTAGTTCAAAACTGTTTGGGACGGCGCGACCGTAATTGTGTTGACACTGTTAGTTTAGAGGATAGTCAAAATGATTATTGCTATTTTGCATTGATTCATCTACAAATCAATACTATTTTATAAAATCTACAGATTATGTGGGAGTATGAAATTTAGTATTTAACAATTTTCACCTATAGATTAAGAAATCTTGTGTTGACAAAATAAACATTCCTTTAATGCTGAGGAAAAATGCCTCTTAATCCATTTGTACAGATGGAGTGACAGTGCCATGCTATCAGGGGACATTATCAACATCGCTTTCAACAAGAAATCACATGCACGAGATGCTGAAAGGTTGATTAGAGCCTACATTGAGTCCGCGGTCACCATAATCTTTCAAGAGCAATTGCCCATTGAGGATACGCTGATCTTCAGAGTCACCAAGTGGAACCTCAACTTTACGACCCATAACACGTAAGGAGACATGTGCCCAATTGCTACTTGATCTCATCAAGTTTGACTAAAACTTTATACAAGCAAATGTTACCTGAATTATTACCATAAATCTGTCTCTAGGACAAGGGCTCATGTCCTAGTTAAGATCATACATTCAATGACATTGCCGTATTTTTACATGTATGCAATGGTGTTGAGTTAATTCTCTTTCACCTTGTTTGTGTATACTTTGCAAGGTAAAAATGTGGCAAATTGCATTTCATTAGAGATGGCTTTGCAACAAATTGATGAGTGAGTGGTTCATATATTTTTCATTAAGTCATACAATTTTTTGGTTATAATAGAAGGGTAAATGCATTGGTTGGTTTCTTCAAAATTAATAATGGACACGACCGGGTCGAGTGGGATTTCCTTAGCGCGATGCTGCAGAGACTTGGGTTCAGAAGGCACTGGGTGGACTTGATCATGAAGTGCGTAACCACTGTCCGGTACCAGATCAAGCTTAATGGAAACCTCATGCAGCAGTTTTGTCCCTCCCGTGGCCTGCGACAAGGTGACCCGGTTTCGCCATACTTGTTTGTCATCTGTGCGGAGGGACTATCAGCTCTCCTTCACGATGCAGAACGTACCGGCAAAATAACTGGGGTCAAGATCTGCCCAACCGCACCAGTGGTGTCCCACTTGCTGTTTGCTGATGATTCAGTCCTCCTAATGAAGGCAAATCCATGGAAGGCGCGGCGCTAAGGGAGATTCTGGACCTATACGAAGATTGCACAGGGCAATGTGTCAATCTCGAAAAATCGGCCATTATGTTCAGTCCAAATACAAAAGAGGAGGTGAAAGATTCAGTGAAAAATGCGTTGCAAATACACAGTGAGTCATGGAGCGAGAAGTATCTTGGGCTGCCTGTACATGTGGAGTCCAAGAAGAAAGCCTTTGCGTATGTTAAAGGAGGCATAGCAGGGAAGGTTTATGGGTGGAAGGAGAAACTAATTGCAAAGGTTGGCAAGTAGACGCTGGTGAAAAGTGTGGCACAAGCAATTCCCACCTTCGCAATGTTGTGCTTTGATCTAACTAAAACCTTTTGCAAAGAAATTGGCTCCCTCATTGGCAATTATTGGTGGAGTCAGCAGGACAAGGAGAGCACGACATATTGGATTAGCTGGAAGAAACTCACTATGTCCAAGGCCCAAGGTGGTTTGGGATTCCGGGATATGCATAGCTTCAATATGTAGCGATGTTGTCCA